GTACAGAGGTCTGTGTGCCCGCTGATGGTACATGTTTGCAATAATTACAGTCGGTGACTGAATAAAAATTGTGGAGGCTTAGCGCGGCTATGCCGGGACATAAGTAGCGTGAGCTTATGCGTAGAAAACGAGAGGCGCTATCAAGTGGCCCCGATGCAGTGTCAGACTTGGCTACTGCGCAACGGAGGCGCATAGCTGGGCACGCGGCGGCTCCAGTGCGCCTGCCGCAGCTATGAGGTCACTCCTCTGGAATGCGCAGACCGGCGAGGCGCGCGCGGTGGCGGCGGAGCGCGCGCCAGCTGTGCGCCGTGTGACGTCACTGCTCCTCGCGCTTGCGCAGCACGGCTCTTTGACAGCCACGCGAAACTGCTCAACCTCGGCCAGCGTAGCTCACGCTACAAAAAACCTAAACCCCCCCCCCCCCCCCCCACAATTTTTTTTTTTGCCAGGCGATTTAATACGGTGTTGAGAGACTACCCAATCAATATTTTTCTGCAGTCGCATATATTTTTAATAAAGTAAAAAAACTCAACTGCTTGAAACCAAAACACGAGCACGGAAACTCTGGCTGGAAGTCACGTGACTACACCGGGCCACATTTGTTTTCTCTTAATTTTTGTTGTGTGAAACAGACGACAACGAATGTGAACCATATGTCATGCGAATGTTTCGCACTTATATCCTACCCGCTCAATGTTCTGCGCTTGAAAATCGATTGGCCGTTACCACGCACGACAGTTCCAAAATAGCAACCCCACAGACGTATCTTTATTTTTGTAGCGTGAGCTACACTGGCCGAGGTTGAGCAGTTTCGCGTGGCTCACATAAAGGGCGCGTTAAGTTAGTGAGCTCCGGACTCCGGACATCTGCGCTCGAGCGTGCGGGTTCGGAGCGTAGGTTAACGGCGCACTTTAGTACCGAGGCGCCATCTGACGCCTATTTTTTTTAACGTTTCCGGTTCCGGCTTTCTGGCGCGCGTAAACACGGCTCCCGTCTCGTCGAAACTGCAGTATAGACCTTTTCCACAAGGGCGCCGCCATCTTGAATTGTCGTCACTTCCAGTATGGGCGAAAACATTACTTTGCCGTCGCCACGCCAAAAGAAGACATTTGGGATATAAGCCTAACCGTCACACATTCTTGTTTTGGCTCCCCTCTATTTTTTCAATGGTTACAGGTTGAAACGTTTTACTATTTTGTCGTCGCCCATACTGGAAGTGACGACAATTCAAGATGGCGGCGAAGAAGTGTTTCTTCGACGACGGGTTCGATGGAATAAGTGCGCAGAGAGGGCGGCAATAGCAAGAGCTTGTATTTGTGCTGCACGCTGTTGGTGCGGCGATTGAAGGTACGCCGAACGCCCCCTGAATTACCAAAAGCCTTAAAGAATGACGGCTGAATGGCCGAATTCATTGGCTCGCCTGATCGTGAAATTGCGGTAAGGTACATGAAAAACTTCGACAAGCATTTGAAGGATGTACGCATACCTTTCTACACCAGCACCATCCTTTTTTTATTTTCCACGATGACGGAACGATTGCACGAGCTGCCACGCGATCGCCGTCGAAGTATCCACGCATCCAAGCAGGCGCGACTTGCGCGTCCGAGGGAGTCCCTAAAGGCTTCAGCGCAAGCACGAACGACGCCGAGAGCTCCGAGCACTGCATGGCAGCGCAGAACGAGCAGCTCCTACCCACGACCGGGCCTACCTCGGTGCCGTTCCTGGCTAGGCCGGAGCCTTTGGGCCGCGGGGTTCAGTTGGTGCGGTCGCGATCCGCGAGGTTTGGCGAGGCGAGCGCGATGGCATCCTCGGAGCGTTCGGAAGCGACTTCGCTCGCCAAGGATTGCGCACACCCGACGCCTCTGGTCCAGAGTGTCCCGGCGGCCCGGCCGCGTATTTCCAAAACGCTTGGAGTTTCGATGTTTCTTCCGTCTCGTGCGAGACCACCGCGTGAAACCACCTCGAGTAACCACGAGACTGGCCGCGAGAGCGGAAACGTCGTCATTACACCGGAAACCAACCTGTTCGAGCTCTCGCGCACCATCTCCGACGGCCTTGCCGACGACGGAGCTCACGGAGCGCGCTCCGCCACCGTGCACCGGAAGTGAGACGATGTCGTTTAGTTTAGCTCGAGCGCAGTCTGACCGCTGGAGCGCGCTCGAGCGCGTTAACTTAAGCGCCCAATGAGTCGTGCTTCGTGCTGCGCATGTGCGAGGAGCAGTGACGTCATACGGCGCACAGCTGGCGTGGCGCAGCCGTCGCCGCCGCGCCTGCCTCGCCGGTCTGCGCATTCCAGAGTGACGTCACAGTCGCGGCAGACGCACTGGCGCCGCCGCGTGCCCAGCTGTGCGCCTCCATTGTGCAGTAGCCAAGTCTGATGCTGCATCCGAGCCACCTGATAGCGCCTCTCATTTTGTGCGCATAAGTTCACGCTACGTATATCCGGGCATAGCCGAGCTAAGCCACCACAATTTTGCCTCGAGCGACACATCAGTAGATTTTTGGAAATCACAAAGATGGGGTTGATATTCTTTTATATTTCTAATATCGAATGTGTGCTTCAGATGACCCACGACTTTGAATATATTTGGTACATAGTTTGAGCGCCACGTGACCTTGGAAAAGACGCGAGCGCGATTGGAGCCAGCCAATTCTCGACCGGCTGTTTTCGAGCGGAAAGAAAACAAATTTCGAGCCGCAAATGATGTTTTGGATAGTTGGGCTCTTAACGACACTTTCAGGCAGCTGTGCATGGGTACCGCCATAACCGACCTTCTGTTTTTGTTTCCTCTTATTGCGTTTGCTTCACTTCATTGCCACATCATGACTGCAAAGTGCCACTTTAGGCGCTACTGTGTCCTCCCCAACATAAGCCTTACTGGAGGGTAGTCAACGCCCGCTTCAGTGGCTTGGCATTTCGGTAAGACAAGAGATCAGTAAAGGTGGCTCATCCTGGAGCGTTTTTTAAAGGGTCTCTAGGTCAGGTTCAAATAAAAAACATTGGCGAGCATAAGTACCATGTCAGTGTCCCTTTAAAGAGGCAGTAAAGTACTTTTTGTAGAAGCTAGTTTTTGATGGTGTAATGTTCGTTAGGGTTTAGTAAATAAAAATGACCAGTTCTAAATGGCAAGGCATCTTAGTAAACTTGCAGCAATAGATATACATGGGCACTGTTTTCTCCTTGGGGCCCCCCCACCTCCATAAAATTTGACCAATGAAAATAGTTACAGGCGTTAGTTGAGCTAGTTGCTACATATTACAAACACTTGGAAAGCCAAGTTTACTGAAGAGCTGGAGACCCTCTGCACCACCTGTGGGACTGACACCGAAACAATAGACCACATCGTGATCGCCTGCCATGGTCTGACCCCACAACCAGTAACGGACTCCGTCCCTGAGGACCTGGGATTATGTTGGTTCTTCCCATACAAAGGGAAGAGCCAACATAATCCAATCCAATGCAATTTGCCAATTTGGTGTCCGTACAGCGCATTTTCTAGCGTGTACGAACTCGTGGCTGCCGTTTTAAGATGGAAAAACAAAAAAAATTTCCCTAGGTGGTTTTACTTAAACGAAAGGCCATCACGATGGCGTGAAAAGATAACGGAGCAGCACTGCATGACCTCGCAATCCCAGTGACTCGATGAGCTCGCAAAGTGTTGATTGGAAGACTACTCCCTCCCAGAGGCGACGGTCGCACACACAAACAAGCACAAAAGCAAGGATTACCTCCGTGGACGGCGAAGAATCATCGTCGGACCCTGACAACGGCGTTATTTTAAGGTTTATTTTAGATAAAAAGAAACAATGCACATTGAGACAGTCCAACACACCTCCTTAAAGGGGCCCTGCAATCATAATTAAGTGTCCACCTTTTATGCGGTTCCCACGTCTCTTGAGGTTCGGGCAAGCCAGCGGGCACGGAGAGAGTAACTAAATATCAGTGCGTTATATTTTAACCAGACGACGCGGAAACCTCCTCCACCGACGAGGGCGACCCGCGGTACCGAAAGCACGCAAAATGTGACGTCTTTGGTCCTGGGCTTACTACTGGTCAGAGCCGCTAAAAGCTTCTTTTTAGTCAAAATACAAAATATAAGCGGCGCGAACCGTTTCAATTATTTATAAAAGTAGTTTTTGTTCAGTATTTTAGATCAAAAAAGAAAGAAATGCAGTTCATAAAGTTCCGAAACAAGAAATGACCCGTCGACCTACCCGCCACCAAGCGGTGGAAAAAGTGGCGCATACTAGAAAGGAATAGTGGGATGAGGCGCCGACACGGAAAGGTCCCGGATGTACGCGACGGCGCTGCGGTCGTACACAGGCTCGAGGATCCGACCGGTTCCGAGCGTTCCCAAAGCTCTCGGCGCAGGCTTTGCTGGCTATTTAGCCCTTTGGCAGTTTGGCGGCGCGAAGTGACTCCCGTTCTGAACTGATCTTTACCCCGTGTTTGCTGTCGTTTGTGGCCAATGAAGTGTCATGCCGAATTAGTATTTAATCGCGCAGCAAATGTAATGAGAGCCGCTCTGGCTGCCCGCTGCATACAGCCTATCCAGAACATGCTTCAATGGCGCCCTCTCGCACCGTCGACTCGGAGTGCGGCAGCCATGAGCGCTCGATGAGCTCACTACTTCTCCTCTAGTTCACGGCCACTCTCAAGCAACCAAGGACGTCATGAGGGAGGTTATTTTTTGCTTGTTTTTGTAACTTTAATTTGCCTATAACTTTTAAAATAAAGGGAATTTCAGGGAAAGAAAAGTTTCACTAAGTTACTACGTTCAGTGCGCTCAGGTTTAGTGCAAATTAAAAATTAGTAAAAAAGTCATTGCAGGGCCCCTTTAAAGATTGCATACTTTCCCAACCAAGGTCTATCGTGAATGCCTGACTTCCAGTGAAATGACTCCAGATGACATTACCCTTTCCATCAGTCATTTCAATATGTTCGATGGAAATTACAGCAGCATTTGCAAGACTACTGCCGTTATCACAAGTTTCCAAGCTTTGGCAAACTTCCCCTTATTTATTTAGAAGACTTCTAGAAAGAACACCAAGTGTCAGGCCATAACTAGACGTCGAACTGCACCGCAAAGACGCAGTCCGACGAACACGCTACTACCATAGGCTTGCATCCAGCGGCATGCGTGATGTCCACGGAAATGATGGATTTTTTGCCGACCCGCTCGGACCACGACGGATGGGCGAGGTCCAACTGGAGCATATCTATCGGAGCGGGCACGCTGTACACATTCAGCCAGCCGTGTTCCAATCCAAGCGCCAGCAAGGACCCGTGTAGGGCCAAGCTGGTGACAGGGCCTTGGCACAATGTGGTGACTGGGTAGCGGACAAAGTGATCGCCGTCGTCCACAGATATGTAGAGCTCTTGGAACACTGCGAAAAGTGGCAGACATGACCTGAACACTCAAAACTGACAGAGAAATTGATGGAAACTGACTGAAACGCTCATCTTCTACCCACCATATTATATTCATCTCGGCAAAAATTTACGCTGAAGCGTGACACGAAGCAGCGAAATTATAACATCCCTAGCTTTCTTAAAGGGCCTGTTCTTCATCTGTAATGGGATTAAATAAACTTTCCCTTTTGATAAAACATATTTAATGTTCCATGAAGTGCCGGGTTATAGTGATATAGTGAAAAACTTAAACAGTGCCGTTATATCCTGAGTCACTGCCAAACCACTAGTCATTTTAGGGGAATACTGATTTCCAAAAAAAACCAAGACGAGTGATCGCCCCCCCCCCCCCCCCCCCCTCAAATACCCCTACATAGACTCCGCAATCCATGAACATTCATCTAACCTGAATGACGCAGCCGCAAACTGTACAGTTAGAGAAGGTTTGTCACAAAGTAAAACGAAGGAGGGAAAGTGACTTCTTTTTGTTGACGCAATTCCTCCCCGATTTACACAACCCCAAAGTCGTAGTACGTGAGAGCGAGAGGAAAACAATAGAGATAACAAAATGAAACTTTGTTTTGCTTACAAAAAGTTTGTTCGGACAAAAAGAAACAAACTCGGAAGATAACACGAGCAATAACCCATTTGGGGATCCCGCCACATCCTGGAATGTAACCGCAAAGTGTAAAAACAAACTTTGTCTCTACCAAAGTAAGGTTACCGCGCACCTGCTACTTCTCCTCGAATGCAGCGACTGTGGTTGGTAAGGTTGTGCAGTGTTTAAGACAAAGCCAACGGGTAAATAATGATTTGCCGGAACGGTGCACACAGACGTTTGTAGGGCGTCCCATTTCGAGCTTCATGTTCATGGTGCCGTCCACGCCATGCAGCAACGCCGCTTCAACCCACCTTGATAGCACGCCATGAACAAAAATAAAAATTTGGGGGTTTTACGTGCCAAACCTACGACAGGCATCTGGCACGCCCCAGCGGAGGACCGAGGATTAATTTCGACCACCTGGGGATCTTTTGACGTGCAACCGAAAGCTCGGTTACCATGGCGCCTTCTCCGCAATAAGCCTCCGTCATATCGCGGGCACCTCGGTCGGGATTCGAACCCGCCACAGCACGCCATGAACGAATGCACACATATATGCACCAAACAAGGAAGTGGCGCAAGAGCCTCAACGCGATCGCCAGCTTTCCAGCTTCACCCTCTCGCTCACTTGTTTTGCATGGTTAGCTTTTCTACTTTCCCGTTAACTTCTTTTTTTTCTTATTTTTTCTTTTCTTGCAAAGAGGACATAGCGGTATTAGAAACGTGCTTTTGTAGAACAAACGCTCGTGCTGTATGCCGATCGGCGGTGTTCATCGCGCGTATGCAAGCAACGGACTGCGCGATAGTAAAACATTCTTTCGTGAGCATTTCTTGCATAAAACAACGAAACTTACACAAGTTTTAGGTTTTATGTATCTATTGTGCAGCCGTGGTACAGAAAAATGGGCGTTTATTTGGCTTTTTCTAAACCTTTTGTGCATACCCACCGAGACATGGCCCGCCCCAATTTGCTTACGAATTTCAGGAGGCAGAGGGGTGGGCGATGACTCGGGATATTACGGTGCATTTTTCTGCGAGAAGAGAGACTAGTCAATGGCAGAGATGCTTTCACAGAGGGGGAGTGACAGTATAAAGAATAAAACGGGCAGAACAACTATGAACTGACTCTAAAGCAGATGCAAGGGTGATTCCTGGGTCCCTATATGTAGAGGCTTCACATTTAAGTTTAGTACGGATTAGAGTTTCATCCAAAAGTAGCTTTATAGAAACAGCAGTGAGAGAAAAAAATTTCCTTTTAGATAACCTATTAAGCGATTAGCATTCTTAGTGAAATATTCAACATGGACATTCTAGGAAGGGTCATTGACCATGTGAACACCAAAGTATTTATTGGAAGAAACAAAAAGGAAGGTAGAATGGTTAATGCAGTAGGCAACAAGCAATATTTTGACAGAACTTTCTCACAGGCCTACACTTATAAATGTTAAGTTCCATAAGCCATTCAGGGCGGCAGTGAATTATGTTATCAATATTACTTTGAAAGGCATAGATGTCGGTATCATTATTAATTGTTTTTAGAGTGCAGCTCTTAGGCGCCCGTTTCCGGCTTGAGCGGCGTCGCCGTCGGCATAATTGCGCAATGCATTATAGGACGCGTAAAGTCACTATACTCCGCGACAACTTTTCTTGGCAATGCAGTGGAAGGTACAGGCCCGCGTCCCCTCTCCCATTTTGAGTGTGGCGGGCTCTCCTCCTCTCCCCGGAAATGGGGGAGGAGGAGAGCCTTCGTACACTCAAAATGGGAGAGGGGACGCGGTCCTGTACCTTCCACTGCATTGCCAAGAAAAGTTGTCGCGGAGTATAATGACGTCATCAGCGACGTGATCGGCATCGGCACTGATGACGTCATCAGTGACATCACTGATGACGTAATCGGCATCGGCATCGTCATTGCCACTGATAACGTCACCAGTGACGTCACTGATGACGTCATCGGCATCCGCATCAGCGACGATGATGATGACGTCCCATGTGCCGTCACTGATGCCGTCATCACGATGGCGATGACGTCATCGTCATGGCGTCATCGTCACATGATTCCCGTGAGGGCTGGTGACCCCGGTGATGTCGCATGACCCCCATGAGGTCACGTGACCCTTGTGAGGCGACGGTGACGCTGCTCGGAGGGAAGAATAGCAGACAGGATGAGGAGTTGAGGAGGACAGAAGAGGGATAAACCTTCCCCTCAGTACCCTCCCTCCTCTTCCTCAAAAGCTGCACTCTAATTCGGCATTACAGGGAGTTGTAAATGGCTTTCAGCTTTTTATAAATAACACAGTCAGCATACAAGCTAATAGAGGAAGACCTACGCATAGGTAGGTCGTTAATATATATAAGAGATAATAGTGGACTGGGTGTGGAACCCTGTGGGACACCGGTGTTAACACGGGACGACGAAGGACTGGTTCCCTTGACGTGAACAAATTGACAGCGGTTTGTTGAAAGCAATTAGGTACATTAATGTCTATATTGAGGTCCACTATATCTAAACATGCATTCGGATATAGTGGACTATATTAGGGAGTTTCATAAGTATTCCATCATTTCATTATAGCAAACTCCTCGACATCAGTCATTTCGGACAAAACACTGCCTTCGTTCAGTAGTGATGACCACGTATGCATCTATTTTGCCAACTGCCACTATTGCGCTTGGCGCCTTACGATCCTCGTATGACCCAAAGCGTACAATGATGGCAATTATCAGCACAGCTCGATGAAAGAACACTACCTTCTTTTAAAGTTCACAAGTTTCGATAAGACAGTTCTTTGGTGCCTCCTTGTCCCTAAGTGTCTTTATTCTTTCCTTGATTCTTGTCTTATATCCCTTCTCATTTGGTCAGTCTCACTGGTTAGGACAGACTCCAGTCATAATCCACCTCAAAGTCTGTGGTAAGGCTAGCTGCGTTCTGCATCCTTTTTTACAACAGACCAAAATCTTCATCACTACTATTAAGGTTGGTTGTGATCGTATTTATACTGTATGTCTGTTGGGGAACAACATTTGAGGGGTCATTCTCAAATGATGACATAGCAAGGTAGGTAATATGACAGGAATGGTGTCTACGACAGACACAGCCAGAACAAAAGTCCCAAATTATAGGACTGTCAAAGTCCTATAATTAGTCAAAGTAAGTGACTGTCAAATACTGATAAAAATTAAAACAATTGGTTTCTCAGTTCTAAACGGTTCTGGCAGTGCAACAGCCAATATATTAATTCATTGCGTAACATTAGGTTAGCTAAACTCTTTTCCCAAGGAAGACGAGTGGTGCCCGTTGCTCGAGCAAGTGATACAGACAATTTTAGCACCTTCGTCTGAAACTGGCAAAACAACGTGATGGGAGGCAAGCCTCACCAGAGAGGACAATCAGGGTGCTTTTCCTCTGAATGCACACGTTGGCCACGGTGACAGGATCCCCGTCGCCGCTGCACAAGGACACGAGAGGTGCGCTTCTCAGACTGCCGGAGCAGACGTCGACCGTTGTCAACAGCCTGTTGGTCCCGACGTGCCTCACCTGCGAGAAATGACTCAGCTTCTCATCCCCCCCCCAGCGAATTGCACGCTGCCGTAAAAAGCTGCCCGTGCGCCCATGTTGCAATGAGCGCCCCCCCTGCTTTTGAAACATTCGAAATACAAGTATGGGATATATCACGCAGCCATCCCAGCAAACTTCTCAGCCCACGCGGCTAACCTCAAGGGGCTGCCCTGCAAACAGCCAGTTTTCCGAGAAGCCTGTACAAGACGGTAAGGGTTTACACGCGCGTGCATCAATGACAAGCGGTAAAGCTTGATGCGAGCATAGGGGCGCAAAGCAGGCTTGACGATAGAAGCGCAGGTGCTTTAAAGGCTGGTTTAAAGGCCGCCATTTTGTCACCTAGTGCAGCAGGCGAAATCGTCCGACAGTTACTAATTGAAAATAAGACTTCCTGAGCTTTCATCAGGACCGTGTTAAGGAGCTTGGGCGACGACGTTTTGCTCTGCCGTCGCATCTTTTAAGTTTTCCTTCGGATGGAATTCCATTTCCTACAATATCAAATAAAGCCTCAAATAGGTGGTAACCATGGTTTTAAGGGGCAACACTGCTTCTAGACTTTCTAATAGAACTTGTGATCTAACTCGCACAAAATTTATACAGCATATCTGCATTTTCGACCCGACTATAAGATATGTACTCAGCTTGGACGTTACCTGAGTAGACTTGCTAATGTTGTAAGTTTTATCTGCAAAGATTATGGAAAAGATTAATGCATAATGAAATACTGAAATAAAAAAAAATATATAAACATATCTACATGGTGAAAGGTCTGTGGATTCCAATACGGTATAGCTGAAAGCTGTAGGATGATTTATAAGTTTCTTATGACAGTTTCAAACTTTTTCCAGTTTCAACATTATTTATCGCAGAAAGTTTAAAAGCCATCTAAAAAATCCTGATGCTGTATTTAACATATTTATTGGATACCTCACACACTTACCAAGAAAAGAAAAAGTGACAAAGCTTGCATACGTGCAAGTGGAGATACAGCAATTCCATAAAATACCTATGTGTGTGAAAGGTTCATTACGAAATAATACCAAAAAAAAACATGCACAGACCCATTTCACAATGTTGTTAAGTCACTGTTTCAAGTACTTTTTTTCAGAGATACTTTAGGACAACATGATATGTGCCTGTCAACCTTCAAATATACAATTCAAAAAAAAAATTGTACTTTAAGGAGCAGTGTATTTCCTTAAAGGGGCCCTGCAAGGACTTTTTACTGTTTTTTAATTTGTGCCGAACCTGAGCGCACTGAACGTAGTAACTTAGTCAAACTTTTCTTTTCGCGAAATTCGCTTTATTTTAAAAGTTATAGGCAATTTAGAATTACAAAAACAAGCAAAAAAATAACCTCCTTCATGACGTCGTAGGTCCTGGCTTGAGTGGCCGTGAACTAGAGGAGGAATAGTGAGCTCATCGAGCACTCACGGCCGCCGCACTCCGTGTGGACGGCGCCAGAGGGCGCCACTAAAGCATGTTCTGGATAGGCTGAGTGCAGCGGGCAGCCAAAGCAGCTTTCATTGCGTTTGCTCCGCGATTAAACACTAATTCGGCATGACACTTCATTGGCCACAAACGACAGCAAACACAGAGTAAAGATCAGTTCAGAATGGGAGCCACTTCGCGCTGCCATACCGCGAAACGGCCAAACCGCAAGACAAAGCCTCTTGCCGAAGGCCTTCGGAACGCTCGGAGCCGGTCGGATCCTCCTGTCCATACGACTGCAGCGCCACCGCGTACATCCGGGATTTTTCCGTGTCGGCGCCTTATCCCACTACTCCTTTCTAGTATGCGCCGCCTTTGCCACCGCTTGGCGGCGGGTATGTCGACGAGTCATTTCTTTGTTTTTTTCATCTATAATAGTGAACAAAAACTACTTTTATAAATAATTGAAACGGTTCGCGCCACTTATATTTTGTATTTCGACCAAAAAGAAGTTTTTAGTGACTCTGACCAGTAGTAAGCCCAGGACCAAAGACGTCACATTTTGCGCGCTTTCGGTACCGCGGGTCGCCCTCGTCGGTGGAGGGGGTTTCCGTGTCGTTCGGTTAAAATATGGCGCACTGATATTTAGCTACTCTTTCCGTGCCCGCTGGCTTGCCCAAACCCCAAGAGACGTGGAAACCGCATTAAAGGTAGACCCTCAAATATGATTGCAGGGCCCCTTTAAAGGGCCCCTGAAAAGAAAAAAAAAGGTTTTTTAAAACAGTCTGGTTGGGACATGCGTGTCAAAAAATGAATTTTACGCGAAAAAAAAAATATTTTAAAGCAATATTGATGGCGAGAGATTTATTTGAAAATTTGCGCACAAATTCCAGGTCATTCAGCTCGGCTTCTCATTGGTAACCATGGTCATTCAAATCGGCTTCTCATTGGCCAATAGAATGAGTGACAGCTTAGATGTTGGTTATAAAATCTTCGTGATCACTTGAAATCGCCTTTTGAATTACATAGTTTTAGGTTTAAGAAACAATCCATCGAATGAATGTCGCAATTGTTTACAAACGTTTTACAAAATCGTAACTTCCATTCGGATACTACAACAAAACAACAAACAAAAGCTTCGCCATTTTGTTTTCTGTCATGGTCGCCGTCTTCGCGTCTTGCGTTCTGAAGAGGGCTTGTTGCTTGTGTTAGTTAGTCAGTCATCGTAAGTACTTAGTAAGTGGCGCGGGGTGACAGGTTTCTGTTTTTCTGCTCTTCTTTGCGCGATTCGTGTGTCCGTTTACCCCATCTTTTGTTTGTTTTCTGGCGCGCGCCAGTGCCAATTTTTGTTTAGATGTCGGTTCCCGTAAAGGGAGTTTAGCGAGGCATGCGGCACCGCACTCAACGTTTAATAAAAAATCAGTTACCACTGCGTGTCCTCGCGGCGGCTTGAAAGATTGTGCGGCTCGGACGAACTCGTCAAGGCACCCGCTTCGCCGCGGCGAAGCGGGTGCCTCGCGAGTGGTTGTCTTGCGGCGATCGGAGCGGACGCCTTCCGGCTGGCGAGGCGTGTCCTCGTAACGGCGAAGGCCCAGCTGCTAGCAGCGTTGAAGCAACCGACGCTTCAGGTCGGGGTCCACCGCGACGACTATGTACTGTGTGTACGACCACGGTGACCACGGTACGTGCACGATACGACGCGGTACGTCGTGCGACCGGCAGACACAGCCGGCCAGGGGCTGTGTTCCAAATCTCCAAATGGATCCGAGTTTCTCCGGCGGATCGTATCACGTGACAGCACAGTTTGAAAAACGCTGTACGTGGGTAGGTTTTAGAACGCCAAGGGTACGAAACCCTTACCCTGGGGTAAGATCGAGTAAATTTTGGAACACGGCCAGGAAGTAGCAATGGCTCTCGTGCGGGGCGCAGCCAAGCAGGGAAAGCAGCCAAGCCGATCCACTACGAAGAGGCGGAGACTACCTCTCCTCCACGCGCCCGAAGTGCCGAGAGAGAAAGGTGGAAAGGATGTGACTACCGACTAAATTGCGTCTGGCGCAGTCAATATTGCTCTAAAAAAATTTTTTTTTCGCGTAAAATTCATTTTTTGACACGCGTGTCTCAACCAGACTGTTTTTAAAAAACTTTTTTTTTCTTTTCAGGGGCCCTTTAAGCCTCAAGGTGGCTCAAATTCCACAACTTTGAGCCATAGCTCACTTCGCGAGTCTAGGCCTACCCTATCATCAGCCGTCTTAGTGTTCGTGCTTTTTGACCTAACAATCACCCAGTCCCCGCTTTTCGGGGCTGCCCTAACATCCCGAGAGATGCCCGAAATATGCAAATATTTCGGGGGAGGGGCAAAAAAATAGCAAATTGTGCCCATCATTTTCGGCACAATTTGCTATTTTCTTTAAAAACACCAAAAAATAGCCCCCTTCTGGTAGTCCCAGGGCCCTGGCCAATGGTGACCTCCGCAGAAATGGTGTTACTTAGCCACGGCGGGAGATAAGCAAACGTTGCCGACTGGGAAGGACACTAGTCTTCGGTTCGTCACCCCTCCCTACAATCACAAGCCTTTGCCAATCACAAAATAAAAAAAATCTTTTGAACTTTTTTTCTTAGTCACAGATAATTGGCCGACTCTTCATTTTCTCCCAATATGCCTTCGGTTTTAGGCGGGCTACCTCTCGGAATATTGTGATAGCATCTCCAAACTTTTGCGGGGGCGATTGATCGCCGTTTGACGGCACAGTTTCTCGAACGTGAGCGCTTGCTTGTGAAGACCCCGGTGACGCACCGTGTTTTCCCAGATCCCCATCCAAGAAGTGGGTCCCATGCCCATGTTGAGCCTGGAGGAGGGGGACAGGTCGAGATGTCCGTTGACGTTGATGCACATCTTGTACATGCAAATGCCGTTGTATTTGGTCAGCACGGCCAGGTGACTGCCCGACGCCCTGCACAAAGAGACCGGAGTCGCCAAGTGTTCCCCAAGTACCGAAACTCCCAGGCTCGGTGGCGCCGCAATTGGCTAATTTTCTTTTTTTTTTCTTTTACTGTGGTCACCACGAGCATTTAGAAAGCATGTTTTTGCATAAAAACAAATGGAAGAAGCTTTTTTCATAGAAACTTTTTTTCGGAGATTGGTACAGAACCACGGGAGCGTGACGCATTCATAAAATTTTAGTTTAAAATGATTCGCGGCACAATTAATGTGGTTTTTATACAACCGTCTCTCAAAAGTGATCCCGGGCGTCGCGTACAGACCTGGGCGCGTCCTCACTTCAGTGCTAATTTGCATAGTAAACCCCTTCCACGGTCCATGTTCCGGCGCCAAAATGGCCGATCAAAGCTAAAATAGAACAGTCACAGCGGACGCTATTGAATGCGATACTCTGGAAACATTTAGCGACTCCAGGAGAGACCAGATATACTTGTCTTTTCAGAGTGCCCTCCGTGCCATGGGGGTAACCACGACAGGAGGAAGGTGAAAGAAAGAACGAGTAACGTAGTTCGACCCATTTTTTAGTTATTGAATATCTGAAGTGGGTGGTCGACTTATAATCGAACCAAAGCATTCCATTGCCGACAAAACCGAAAAATTGTGATATAAAGAACACCTCGGCTTGTTACGAGTTAAGTCGGCTGTGCATGTAGCATTGCGCTATTCTGTGCTTTCATTTTACCATTTTTTTTTTTTTTTATTTGAGCGAACGAGTATTAGTATTAATAGCAATTCGCAAATTGACCCGAATGTATGGTGGTGAACAGCGCACGGCACGTCCGACTCCCGGGGGTGGCGGCACTTCTTGTAAGAGCCACTCTGGAGGCAGCTGAAACAGCCTTGCGTCTCGCTCCCCGCAGCTTCTTATCGCAGTTTTTCAACCTCTTTGAGTTCTTCGCACGATTCACGGTCGCACATTGTTTGATCGAGTGTCGAGACCGTGCTGGAGTGCCAACTACGCTTTTCTGTATTGACATGCGTGATCCGGGCAGTTTAGGTCTTTGGTGCTCGTTTATGGCCATTCATCACCCTAAAGCAACCAACAACTGCGCTGTTGGGCACAAATTCGACCTGTCAGAGCGGTTGATGCTCCAGTGAACTCTGCAATGCCGCGGGATCTTAAACTGTGATAGCAAACGAATAGGCTTCCGCAGGCCAAAGTCTGGATAGGTGGGGATGCCTTCCGGAGTTGGAGGTCAGGCTTGCAACGTACGCCACAAAAGTGCGCGATCAGTCCCTACCCGTGACGTGCAACGCGATCGCCGAGCAAGCATGGAAGATGCAGTTGACGCTGTCATTTGCGAAGTGCCAGATTTCGTTGGACGGTGCCGACGATGTGCTTCGAGAACGTAGCAGTGACGATGACAGGACTGACATCACCAATGCAGACGAGTCGTAGTCTAGTCCAGGACGGAGTGAGAACGACAGGGAGCAGCTTTAGTTGTCCCGCCTCCAGCGTGAACTTTGTAGTTTCAATAACGCCGGGCCATCTCATGCACCTCACACGTGCATGCGCAGCCAAAGCATGCAGAAGGCATCGGTCGCGTGTTGGAGGCTAAGCTTTTGAAATAGATACCTGGCAATTCTCACGTGTTCGCAATAAAATGTGCATGTAGAGATTTTTTTTTTTTTTTTGCTAATGTGCAGGGTAGGTGGGGGGGGGGGGTTGACTTACAATCGAGTCGACTTACAATCACGTAGCTCAGGGGTGATCACCTTCCTGCAAGCAAAATGCCGGACAGCGGGGCAGTGGGGGCGGAGGGGGGGGGGGGGAGGGGTAGAAGAAATTTTTTAACACGCACACCACGAACCGAGGCTCTGTTAACAGATTTAATATCCTGTGCCGTTCATACACCTTCTAATTGTTTTGCAGGCTCAGCAATACAGCTCAAATATTTTTTACTCCCAGTGACATACTTTTTTATGTCAAATGTGCTATTAAATGTGTCAAAATTGAAAACATAAAAGTCAACTCAAGCAGAACTTAATGTATCAAATGGAAATAAGAAACCGTAAATCTTTTTCTGGTTATTGTTTCCTGTCAACGCTTACATTTATCAACATGGTGTTAAACTCTCAAAAAAACCCGTGCGTCTACATTCCCGCACAACACTCGGAGAGCCAATCACCGCGAGTTACGGAGGCAGCTCAGCGAATGACGACGGCGAAACATATGTTTAGACCGAAAAACGCAGTACGAGTTTTGGCATTAAGCAATGCAAAATGTCACGCTTGCATTGCATAATGTCACAACTCAGACTGCGTTTTTTTGGTCTAAACATATGTTTCGACATCCTCAATCCCGGAGCTGCCTCCGTAACTCGTGGCGATTGGCCCGCCGAGTGCTGTGCGTGAAAGTAGACACACGGGCTTTTTTTAGAGTGTACACAAATTTTTAACAGTATGTTCTTTTTCGACCCTTGTGAGTTGCAGGCTTTTTCCCTTGTGTAGCTGTCTTCATGAAAAAATTAATAAATCCCCGGCAAACCTTTTGCTGTGACACAGCGATATGAAAATAATTACAGAATCGTATATTTGAAATTTTGGCAAACAATTTTTCGTACAATATTTTGCCACGAAGGGGAGAAGCGCAACAAAGCAAGCGCGTCGGTTCTACTACAAGAATGACGGTCACTTCCCGCAATGCTTAGATAGAAAATGGCGTACCCATGCGATTCACACGATTACCAGCGACCTCCGCGCTTCCCCGTGCCCCGTTGTTCGGCAGAACCATGAGTTGCAGAGTGAATTTTACGACAGTATGAAATGCGGGACATTTTGAAAATTTGAAAATTTCTTGCGGGACGTGGGACACGAGCCCTCAATGCGGAACAGTCCCGCGGGTTGCGGAACGGGTGGTCACCCTAGCGTAGCTACGGTATATAGACACACGTGTTCAAAGAGTGTAGTGTTCCTCTACTTCCTAGTGATAGTTACATAACACCCTAAACAATGATGTTATTTCATAAAAAGAAAAATAAACTAAACTGTATGTGCTGTTATATACTATAAGAGACTACAAAGTATTATCATAAGTTACATATTAACCCCTTCGCAAACCAAGAAACATTATTTGCTGCAACAGTGTTCTGAGAGAGCACCTTTTATTTTTCGAGGGAAATGAGGATTCCCGAAGCATTCCTTGGGAGGGATCAGTGCTATAGCCAATTTTTTTCAAACGCCGCAGCTTGGAGGCCGTGGAACGTAACCTCACGCCGCAGAGCCCGGCGATCCTGGGCTCTGTTCCCACCCCCGCCCAAATAAGCTCTGGATAAGCATCGTACCAGCACGCGGTCGTGCACCAGTACCGCGTGATGCACATTAAAGAGCCCAGGCTAGGGGTGGTACTGCACCGACTAAATATATCATCTACAGTGGAGCCACCAGACAGCCCTTGGGGGGCCGACCAACTTGTTGCCCACTTAAACGTACATGCAACACAATTACTTTAAGCATTATAGCTAGTATCCTCTATTTATCAAACAGCTTCTATTTACCCGACACTGCTTTATCTTTGGAGCTTCGCTTCTGTGTTTACGCCAAATTCAGAGGAAAACGCACACAAGCGAAGAAGGAGACCATCAGCGCTGCCAAGCACCAGGCGCGCACACCCACCTGATGCTGAGGATGGCCTCGCCGAAGTGCACCTTTGTATCGCCCACGGGAGCGTGGCCGTTGAGTGGCATGGGACAGACGGACATGTCCGCCGAACAGGAGACCACGTGGTGGTGGTTAGACGAGAAGCTACCAAATCCGTAAGGACCTGTATTCATCGCCGTCCAGACCAGACATCAGAGGGAGGACTCTGACTTTGTCCAAACTTGAGCCACTGCATATGGCAGTTTTAGCTGCCGGAGTAGTGACCCTAACAAAAAGACCTGAATGCGAAACATTGAAAGTGCCAATAAAAAATTTTCATTTTTAACCCGAGAGGTTGACATGATGACCATGCTGCTAGAGGCACCTGGGCCGGTTTTCTCGAAGCGATGGTAAAACCCATTTTGGTAAACCACGGTGCCTAGGAAGGAAAAAGTACCTAGGTAACTGTATTAAACGGCTGGATATAGAAGAACCACATTTATTTATGATTGGGCAGTAAGATGCGCCATCTATTGGTGAAACAAGCCAGTCATTTTGTTTATCCTCTTTTTCCGCCGGTTGTTATCGATCTAGTACGGTATTTTAAGTCAAAATATAGTAATGTTGTACTTGAAGACCACTTTATTTGCTTCAGATGGTACGAAGAAATTTTTGCTACTATGCTAGAGTTTGTCGACGAATATTCGAAAATGTAAGAAACATTTCCTTCAATATGTTTCGCCGTAAACAACGCCTAACTTTCCCGTTTGCCTTCCAGTCTGGCAACGCCGGTGCTGTAGTCTCGTTTTTGTTCCTTGCGACACACGTTCTGCGATTCCTGCTGATCTCAACTGTTTGCCCCGTCTTTCATTTGCCCAACCGATCCACCGGTGACGAGAAGCTAAGCTTCTCGTCACCGTTGAATTGCTGGCCACCGGGGATATGTAGAAACCTCGATGCTGTAGGCATACTGTCGGCGCACTGCAAACAAAAAAACAGTACAATGTCCTAGTTGTTCACCGTGAATGAAGACTTTATCGAGGATAACCCCCTTTCTCTCCAAAGTAATCGCTACTCACGAGTTGGCGTGCATAGTGTAACAAATTAAACGTGTTAGTATAAATATATACCAACACTCGTTCGCAAAACATTTTTTTACTCACCATAAAAACACCTGCAAGGCTTAAGCACCGTCATATGTCTTCGATCCCGGACTGCTGAAGAGTGATGCGTTTGCGGAATGCTGCCGTCGGTTAGTTTAGTAGTCCCTCTGAACTAGCCCTTTGCTTGACGTGCTAATAAGCTGACGGTGCGTCATTAATATAACAGCCGGATCGAAATGAATGTTCAGCAGAACCAAACAGAACTGTTAACCCTCATTAAGCTACGTCGTGGCCATTTTGCTTGTAGGTACTGCTCCTCCCTCGGCGCCCCTGCTCTCCCAGTCACGTGACCTAAAATTCCCTCCTCTAGGGACAATAGTTGACTTTAAACCACGGTTCGCGTTCGAGAAAACGGGCCCTGGTGGCCACTTTATTAGTGCGGCTTATCTCATTTCTTAGCCCGTTAATTGGCAGGTGGTGAGAGCGTGCAAAAGCAACTTCGCTCACGGTTTGCTCAGTGCAAGTGGGGACGCGAAAGTAGCAGGCGACGCTGGTATGCCAGAGACGTGCCGAATCATCCAGACACGACTCCTGTAATGCTCGGAGCAAGTTCCTACACAGAGAGCAAGTCGTCTGCTTTTTGCACAGGAGTTCAGGACGACACCGAGCTGACTGGCTTTGATTGAAAGGGTTGGGGGCACACTTCAATGCTAGATGCCTTGAGGACCCCCACTATTTTTTTTCAATCAGCCAATAAGAGCCTCAACGTTCTGACATCATCACAATCTCTGTGCAAGAAGCAGACGAACTTGCGCTCCGCATGGAAACCGAGCCAGCACCGCCTGCCTCTGGTAATGCATGTCATCGGTTCCGGCCAATCGCGGCGGGAGGGGGCACAGGAAAAAACATGGCGCTATTTTGACGGCCAAAGGTGCCATATACGGGGGGCCCTAGTACAAGCCAGACCAACCTCTGCAACGGAAGTCGACGAGTGCGAGGTCGTTGACCGAGGCTTTATGAGAGGGTAGGAGTCGAATCATCGCACCGGTAGTGGCGTCCCAGAAGCACACGGTGCCGTCACTGTGGCCGGTGACAGCAAGCGTTCCTGGGAAGACAAATCGTCCAAAATGCCAGTCAGCCTCAATGGTGCACTCATTCACGGCAGTGGCCCAAAACAAACACCACCGGATTTCAGACAGTTGGTGAAATCCCCGAGTCTTTGCAATTATTGCTTTCTCATCTGGCAACGCTGATTAACGCTAACTGGTGCTGCAGCACAGCAAAGTTGCACTGTAAGGCTCGGAGAGAAGCAGTTGCCTAAACCATCCTTGCCGATCATTCCCCAACCTGTTCTAGCCCGGCCCAAGCTATCTTAGCTGAGGCACATGGCAAGGGCAGCATGTGGGGGGCCTGGGAGACCATACTCCTATGAACATATCTGTATTATTCGTTCGGCAAGAGTGCCTGCTATATCGGGACAACATACTTACTTCAACCTGCTAGAAGAACATTGGCGGTAATGACCAACTTTCTGCTATTTACATCATGTTCCACTGCAGAAAAAAAGGATCATTAACTTGGATATACTGATAACAACGTGCGAGCCATCGTACGAGTACGGTATGACTGCACCATCTCCTGACTGGGAGTCTCAAAAAACGAATCAATTGATTAATCAACCGATCAGTCAATCCAGGCTGCAAAAAACGTGGTGACAAGGACATCCTCGAAACGAGGTAAATCGAAAGAGAGCGCACTCACGGCTGGCCTTGACACACGTCACTGGGTCCAGACGGGCAACTGGGTACGCGTTTGTCCGGTGGGGAAGGCCAGCAAGGACCTTCGAAAAGTGCCACGTCTTGTAGAGTCTGAACCAGTCGGTGGAGCAAGACCCATCGCCGGCTGGACCACACGAGTCGATAATCCTGCGAGTTCCAAGATGGCGGCCGGCACGGCCACATCTTGTTTGCACGGGCAATCTTTTTCCTAATCAAAGTCGGTGGCCTCAGCCTTTGAACCATTTGGTCAACTACGTCGGGACAAAGTGCGCCGAAAATATGCCAAGAAAAATTGTGAGTATTTCTCGCGCCTTATTTCTTGTCTCCTAGGGTCCCCCGTGAGCTGCCCTCTCTTAATTCGAATTTCGATTGCCGCATTTTCCTGTCTACGAGTCACGGCCCCCTTTCAACGTTTGTTTTCTTACAAGATATATAAAAAGAAAAAGAATGTAATTTAATTATTAAACAACCTAGATAGGAAAAAGGATGTCTACAAAACAAATTTACAAAGAAAATATTTTTTGAGCTACATTTGACGGCGCGAAACGAGTAACTGCTATGGTCACGTGACTGGCCGCTATTGTCATGTGGTGCTTGTGCTCTTTAGGGAGCTTCATATAAGTTTTAAAAGCTACTTATTAGTCTTCATTCGAAGTGCAACAAAAAAGCTGAAATTATTAAGTAACTTTAACAGGGTGCAGAGCAAATTATTATTTTGAGATTCTCAGACTTTTTCAGGTTTTCCCTGACATTTTCAGGTGAAATTCCCTGACCACTGTAGAGGCGGCAAAATGTACAAGACCATTACAACGTAAGGCATTGAGCACTGGGAGGATCATTTTGCACGGGCTTAATCCAACTTGCATATTCCGAAATACTATTCGGATACGTCCAGTCCGGATTCAACAAGCACTTTCTTGCAGCCGACATCGTCAGTGAAGAGGCCACTTCCGGAAGCACAATGAAAACACGAAGCTCAACCACGCACGTCAATAACCGAATGGCAGCATGGCTGCCAGATGCACACTTTTGGATACTTTAGCTCGAGGCTTGGATTGGATTGGGGTCTGCGACTTTCCCATTTGTTACTAAATCTAGCCTAGTGTCGTGCCTTAAATCTAATCCAATCCAAGGCTTGGACTGGATTTGTTGGCTGTTACCTTTGCATCGGGTACTCTACACTGGGTGAACAGAGCCCGCGCTCCACCCTCAGCAGAATTTATTGCCAATTTTTCTGTCCCCCAAACCCTCAAGTCAGGGCACTCTATGGCGTTTCCGGCTTGTTTTCCCTGACTGGGCTTGCTTTTTGACAATATCCCTGACAATTATCCGATTTTCTTAGTAATGAAAATTTCCCTGACAATTCCTGGTTTTCCCAATCACTAGAGTCCGTGTAATAGCCCAAAGGAAGCTTCCGAAAGAGTGCAAGCATCATGTGATAGACCAACTACAAAGTTGTTTTGCGCCGTCAATATAGCTATACAAATTTTTTTTGTTCATTGTAAATTTATTTTAGGGCATCTTTTTCCCATCCAGGCTGTTTAAAAAAAAATGTCTTTTTTCCTTTGCATATGTCGTTTAAAAAAAAGGGTACGATATAAGTTGCACTTCTTTGCATGGTCGGCGCTGCGAAACAACATTGACATGCCTGCATATGCATATTGCGATCGCGATGTACCATGCAAAAGCGGGAGCAGCAAACTTCAATAATCTCGCAAATGAATCAAACGAGAAATATAACCCCGTACCCCGTGGCTATACTAAATCGCAGCTTGTCCCCTCGTTATAAAAAAAAATGCATGTATATAATTCGAACCATTTATAAAGACACACCGAAGGAAATGGGGGGGGGGAGAATGTGATTTGGAAAATGTGGTACACGTTTACATTGCTCAAAGCAAAGCTTGGCAAAATCAGCGAAATCTCCTCCTTGCACCTACTTGCCCCGACGCCCGAGCTTGATTTTAGTCCTAGCAAAAAAAATGTGAGGTCCTACCGAGCCAATGTTGACAGTTCCATAATTCTGTGGCAATTTAGTTGGATCCTTTTAAGTACAACGGTTTTAAACAAAATGCACCGATACGTTTGGCATTTGTGCAACCAGTCACGGTCAACAAAGAAAACAGAAAGTGCACTTTAAATGTCGGCCGGCAGTAGGACAAGCCAACTTGAACGTCATCCGACTTTTCCCTTCACTCGCATGGTATGTGGTGTCACCGGTGCAGTTGCTAATTGCCTATCAAGTCAACCTGTGAGATAAGAAACAATCTGCATAGCTTGGGACTCTGTCAGTATTGCCTGGAGTAGCTCCGCCCCTAAATTCAACTGCAGCTCACTTCAGCGTCCTTTCAAGCATGTACGGATTCCCAGCTGGGATAGCTCGAGTGCTCAACACTGCTAAACAAACCACATTACCAAATGAACTATTAAATTTTCGGAGATACTGGCATTTTTCACGAAAGGCGTAGGCGCCCATGCCTTTCGTTTTAAGGAGCTACGTTCTTTAATGTTTACTTTTTCTCACAGATTTGGTGTTTTTTCATAGTCGGACAACAAATTGTCACTTATAGGGGCTCGTGCCGAAGAGAACAGGACACGACCATGCGATTACCCAACCTCTTGGAAACATGAGCATGGCCCAAATGCTTGCAAAATGTTCTGGTACCAATGAGAGGAGGAAAGAAGATACAAGGGCTGTGGTTTACAAAGAAAGGAGAGGCCTGAAGGAAAGGTTCGTGCAGGCTAAAACGCAAAATAAAGCTATAAATAAAGACTTCTTTTCGCAAAGCTTGGGTTTTCCTCACTCAAGGTCAGCTTCGATTCAAGATTTTTTGGTTGTCCCGAAATTTAATGAAACCAGCTCGGTGGGTACTTCCCGGGGTTCATTGGTATACACCAAAAATACTGAACCTTAGTTTTATTCTACTTCTTTTGAAGAAGCTTTCAAAAAAACCTATACATGAATATAAGACCACCATTCTCTTATATCTCATGTCATAACAATCAGAAAAACTATTTCCAATCGTAACAATCTATCTCTTTTCTTTTTGTAGGTTATATTGTCTAGTTATTGCTAGCTTTCGATTATGAGTCTTATTTTATGTAGACTGCACCAACACACGGGAGCCTTGATGTCCACCACAAATGAATGAATGTATGGTGAATGTCTTTTTTACCACATTGGCACAATTTCTAACACAGTACCACTGCTGTTTCGGGACCCATTCTGAATAGGCAGAAGTGAAGAGGGACTCCTTTCACCAGGAGAGATGGTATTGGACAATTACAATGACAAAAGGGTAAATGAAGGGAACTATATGCATGCAAACCAACTCTGAAGCTCTGAAACAAAGGGTAGCCTACACCACTCACTCAGTGCACATGATTTGGTCTATGGCATGAACCCCAAACTGCAGGTAAAAACAACACAAACGCTGAAAGGTCTCAAGACCTCTTAGTGTTCGGGTCGTTTTTACTTAAGTCATTTTTACCTGCAGTCTCGGCATTTATCAGTGAGAAAACAGCGAGTGCGCAGGCGAGCTGGTGGAAGTTGATCATGATGTAGAATACCCGAGACTGTGGTAAAAGCTGGGAAACTGGTCGAAGAAAAGGCAGGGAAAAAGAAGGAGACCTTCTTTTTCCCTGCCTTTTTTCTTTGACCAAGGTTCCTAGCTTTTACCGCAGTCTCGGGTATTCTACATCATGATCGGGGTTTATGTCATGTTCAATTTCAACTAGCTCGTTTGCACCATTACATTCACTTCATTTGGTCTAGTTAGCTCTTGTAAAACAGCCGACATCATAAAAAAAAAAAAAAGTTTCCGTGCTCGGTTTGATTGACAGACTAAGGCTACGGGACCCCAAGAAGACATTCCTGGACCCCAAAGAGTCTGCACACACCCATTTGAGAACCACTGGTCTACCACATCAGTGCAAGTCAAACATCTTTCATTTCTGTACATACGAATGGGATGGCACTAAATTAATGAGGTTTGAATCACCGCCCTGTCAAAGCGGCACTATCTGACCTCTGCGGCACATGGCCATGAAGTTCCCCGACGACTTCGCCGTCAATCTCGTTCGCGCAGAGCATCTTCCAGATTGTCTGTCCGTGTTCAAGGATGGCGTGGACAACGTCGTGCCATCGTCTGCAGACACGAGCCGAACGTACCAGGGTGGCCCCATCAACCAGGCTGAAAATCTTGAGCAGGAGTTCATTCGGTACATCGTCAAGTCCAGCCATCATGACAGGACCTGTAGGGAAGCAACCATACCACAGAGAGAAATTCAACTTAAGGTAACACAACTGTGTCGGACGTTTTTCAAGACCATATACGATAAGCAAGTTGACTATAATGCATCCCCTCACACATGAGAGAGGGAAGTCGCCTAGAGAGGAGATTCAGTGAAAGGAAGCAATCATGTGCGTGCCTTATGTGATGCCCTCAAGGGGGCCTTTAAGGGAACTTGAAATAAAAAAGCACCACCCCAGCAGCTGTTCACTCTCTTGTAAAGACTGAGCAAACAACATCCCGGCCATGGGTTCCCCGTTCATTGCAACGCGTACGGTAGATGTTGGTCGACAAAACCGATGTGCCCTTCTAGCTACATCGTTTCCCCTTTCTTAAAGACTATGCACTCCTTCGTTAAAAAACTGGTGGGGCTCCGGAAGCCGTCGAGAAGGTAAGACGGCCACTGCTAGGACTAGCAGACGACGTCGGAGCTCGGCGCTCGAATGCCGAACCCCAACGCCACTGATCAATCTGCGCAAAGAGCAGACAATGATCTTGCTCGCTCCGATTGGTAGGATAGAGAAGGTAGAATAAAAAACAGCTAGCCTTTCTGTCTATCCCAACCATGCCTTAGAATGCAAGGGAAGTTATTCAAGCGAGTTTGTATACATGGCGGGTTTACTACAGTTGATCGAATGCCATTTCATCGAAGCACGTTTTAGAGAATGGGCACGTTTTATCGAAGCACGGTTTAGAGAAAGCAGAGCCTCAGTTTAGAGAAACTCCGTTTATCGGAAAGGGGACGCTATTTAAAAAGGCTTTCCTACTTTGCACGTGTATCACTGGTGCCCGTGTTAACCCAAGCCCCCCGCTGCGCTCCCGCCGCTCCGCCGGCGGCAGTCTGCGGCGGCTCATTACACAAATGTTAACTCACCTGACTTACTCGTGCACGCCACTTCGCGGCGGCCGGATTCGCTAAAAGGAGGCTCATCGCCATTTTCTCTAAACCGACAGACTTGGGTCGGTAAAATGGCTTTCGCTAAAACGAGCTTCTCTAAACCGCACGCGTCTGATACATGGCATGCCAGTGACGTCATTGCACCGTGCTTGTGACCATTATTCCTGCTTGTCCTTGCCAAAACAAAACAAATTTGGTGGAACGAAATATATGCTCCAAGAGGTATGCACTCAACAGAGAGGCCGCCGCAATGACCATTGATCTAAAGTTAACGCCATTGCCAGCAATGTTACTATACTCCGTTCCACCCAACCTTCAGTCCGAGCCACTGATCTCTATGACAACTGCTGGATCGCGTTTGCCCACTCCGCAAATGCGGCCACTGGCGGCCATCTTTTTGGTAGAGTTATATTACCTCTAGCCAAGGTACAGCTGCTGCAGGCACTATCATCCATCCATGGCAGACAGCGTTGTGGTAGTTATGGTGGCAGGCTGCCATCAAAATAGCGTGGGTGATATTTTGTGTTTGATTGAAATTGTTTGACGAAACATTTTTGAAACCCGACGTGAACGGTAGCCCGATCTTTGAGGACCCGGCGAAAGTTCCGCGAAATCGCAGCATCGGGGAAAAGCAGCACAGCACGCATTGAAAGTCGCATCGAAAGAAGCATCGAAAGCAGACGCCAATATGGAGTCTGCTTTCGATGCGAGCTGCGCTGCTTTCCTCCGGTGTTGCACTTTCGTAGAACTTTCGCAGGGTCCTCAAAGATGACGCTACCGTTCAAGCCGGGTTTCAAGAATCTGCTTCGTCGAACAACTTCAATCAAGCACAAAATATCACCCACTGTACACTAGACCCACGGTTATTTTATGGCAGCCTGCCGCCATTCCGCTTTCCATCATATTACTATGATGGCTATAGATAACATAACTACCAAAAGATGGCAGACCATGGCCGCATTCCCGTCCATAGGCGGAGCTGGTCAAACACAATCCAGCAAATAGACATAGAGATCAGTGGTCCGAGCAACACTGTAGTCCGAGCAAAATGGACAGTGTTGCCAGACAGAGAAAAAAAAAGTCAGCAGATTGATCTCCAAAAAGTCAGTAGATATGCACAAAAATCAGTAGATTCTACAAAATCTGTGTTTTGCCATTTCCATTAAACCATTTATCGAAGAAATACTATAAAGCAACATATAGCATGGTAATAAACACAAATAAATTATGAAAAAACAAGACCAGTTTCGTGTAATTCTTTATGAAAAGCAAAGTAAAATGGCACCGTGAATGTATACATATATATTTTTTTATCAGCATTGACTGGTGTTGCGATTTCGAGGATTATTCGTTGAAATCGAGACTGAGCCACTTTTGGGATCAACAGATACAGTGGGACACCCACCTGTCGCTATAATTGAAACAAAACCAAAACAAGACGTTCCAGCAGGTGCGCGCATGCATGTCCATTTTATGTCCTCTGCAAGCTCCCATCTTTCCTTACTGGGCTGTGGAAGGTTTTCAACACAACGCTGTAGGCGCGGAGCACTGTCGAGGCTATGCGTCGTCTACTACGAGCTTATTCCTTTTTCGCCTGACTCAAAGCTTGCGTTCGAACGTGGAGAAACTTAATTCGTTAGCTTTTTAAGCCACTGAGGAATAACATTATATTATTTTCTTGAAAAGCCTGCCAAATAAAAGTTAAGAACTGAAATTTGGATGTCGATCCCATGCATTCCGCCGGGCGAATGAATGAAAATGGCGGCCCTCCCCGCTCAACTGGGTGCAGCCGAGAGTTCACGCGCATGCGCTCACGCCTCTCGCTCAGCGCTGCAGGCTGATTAGCTCACTCGGGAGGGAGACGTTACGGCGGCGAGATCATAGGGTGGCCAAACTCTCCCTATATGGCTCAGGCCCAGATGTCACCTTCAAACCCAACGTTGGTCGAACCTGCTCTGTGTGTAGATATGAATATACGATTAAGTCGCTCGGATAGGTTGGGTTTCTGGGCCATCTAACCAGTGCTTCGTTTTTAATTCTGGGAGAATACGAGTTTCCTTTGATGGGCGACCCTGGGAACTGAAGGGGCCTAATAATAAATTTTTAATATGTTTACTAAAAAAAAAAGACAGATTTCTTTCTTTTTCAGTGAATCAGTAGACCCGGAACAAAATCAGTAGACCTGGCAACACTGGCAGTGGGCGCCACGAGCTAACCCACCCGATCAACCCAGCGCCGGGAGAAAATCGCGTGACCTGCCGGTTGGGCAGAGCGACGCCATAGAGACGCAGGGAGCTCAAGGTCACACGACACCGACGACACCCTCTCAACGCTGGATTGGCTGAGATGGCTCCTAGCGTCCACTGCGCTCGTACTGAAGGTGAAACGGAGTATACAGGGTGAAACAAGGAGACGCCAGGCTCTTTAAATCGACCGGAAAATTCAGTTTCTTAACCCACCGCACTACAACTTTGTGCAGCGTTGCCCACAGATGGTGCATTTCTTTTGTAAAATTTGCGAAGAGCGAACTTACCTGAGGAAAAAGTAAAGAAAGAAAAAGGCTTAGCTCCTACGGAAACGCAGCGACGCCACCGGTCTGCAAACAACACGGCGCCGTTTCGCACGTTGGCGGGATAGTCTCATTTTAATTCTTGTTACCACATCAGGTCAGAGCTCCGAAGTAGTCATGTGAATAAATCAAATCTAGAGATGTCACTGGCATAGCCAAGTTTACAAAAAGCATAGAGCACAAGGCCTCTTCCCTTTTATGTCTTATAACCCCCCCCCCCTTCCTTCCTTCCCCCCCCCCCCCCCCCCCCCCCCCCCCTCCCCCCGTCTAACGTTGGCCACGTTGGCCTTCGGCCTTTCCAGTGTGGGCTATCTGGCCCCAGCACTCAAATGAGTTTGAGACCACTGCTGTAGATCAAAGTCAGTTGGCAAGCTTCCTAGAACGCCTCGTGCCTTTTCGTGGCACTCGCTACACTATCAGCCTGCCTTATGGGCATAACTGGTGGAATGTTGGATACACATTACCTGCGAAGAAAGTTAATTATTTTGTGGTTTTCATGGTAAACATAAAGGTTTCGCAAAAGTCGCCGCAAAAAAGGTGTCTTTCGAAAACTGTCCTTCTTCCTTACCCGTGGCAACGCCTCCTCTACGGGGTAACGCCTGGGCAACAGAGTCCGAAGCACTGTGGCCAACTGTGGTCCAAAGAAACTCCGAAGAACATGAAACATGTTCATGCCCGTTCCTAACTAGGGGTGTCGCGAACCGGCCGCGGTTCGAGTTCGACCAGGTTCGACTTTTTCGAACTTTTAGTGGAAAGTTCGACGAACCTTGTATTGAGGTTCGACTCGTGTGCGCATGCGCGACAGGCTGGCCAGTTGGCTTCGGATTGGATAGTAATGGCTAAGAGATGAATTAAGTGCAGCGCTGATTGGCTATTTTAGTTAATACGGTACTAAAAATTAAGTTATTAACTTCTTCAGTGATTAGAATTAGTTTCTTTTAATTGCAGTTGTTCACAAAATCAAATAACCCTTTGCATAAAAAAAGAAATTCTCCAAACCTAGACATGCTTGTATCAAGGGCTGGCCACACTGTCCACAAAGGTCGAACCGGTCGAATCTGGTGAAAAGTTCGAAGGTTCGTCGAACCGGTTCGACTCAGTCGAACCCCGAAAGTACGATTAAAAAATCTGGTTCGACAAAAGTTCGCGACACCCCTACTCCTAACCACCTCCTAATAGTGAGTTCGTTTCACGGCACTCGTGCCCACGCGTGCCCACTCGCAGCGTGGAACGGGTTCGTTTCGGCCGGTGTAGGACGCCGATCTCACTACCCCTCCGCCCCAACTACGGTAGTGGTTTTGGCGTACGCCAAAATCAATACCGTAGTCATTTCGGAGTACGCCATAGTCAATACCGTAGTCTTTTTCGCATACCCCAAACACACTACCCTTACGCCAAATTCAATACCTTGAATAACGTCGGCTGAGCTAGAGCACTATATAGCTCCTTCGGAGCAGAGTAGCGCAATCTAGAACGCCGCCTCTCGGCGACTAGCGGCGAACGCCCGGAGGTTCCAACTGTGGTCAGAAATGCATGGAGAACGTGAGAAAATCGTTGTTTCTTCAGTATTGTGGGGTTGTACGGAATGGCAATTGTTTTTGACATAATAATGGAACATTTTAGAATAATTTGCGCTAAGTTTTGTGCCCCGCAAGGACCTGATTTTTTAAAAAAAATTGCTTGAACGGCATCATGCAGCAGACGACACGGTGACGTCACACCATTCACGTGACCCGCTCCGGCCAACCCGAAAGGCCCATCTCCGCTGCGAGCAAAAGTCGTCTGCTTCAAACGCCGTTGCCTCGGAAATTGCCTTCTCAAAATTCGCACATGCATCCGATATTATTAAAACTTTGATAAATGGTTTAGTGCTTCACTAACTTCACGACAGACTAGTTTTGAAAAGTGTGAACTCGCCGTTCATTTTTTAATAAGCCGTGTTGTGTCGATCTCCATGTATTCTCCCATAGGGCGGGCCGCCTCCTGGAACCCTGAGTACCACGTGACTCGCGCCGAGCCGCTCTGTCGGCCATATTGTCGGCAAAACACGGGGTTCAAAGGATTGCGCTACTCTGCTCCGTAGGAGCTATATAGTGCTCTAGGCTGAGCAGGGGTTGAGCTCCGCATTTCGCTAAAACTGGCGGAAGTAACTTTCTGCAGCATAACACCCTGATTGTTTGTTGTTGTTTGTATGAGCGGCGGAACGCGCGCGGCAGGCGTTAATTAATTGTGATGAGTAAAGCTATACACACCCCGGAGTGTGCTTCGGACGGAAATGGCTATACGCACTCGGCTTTTCTCGTATAAAAAGAGTGGACACAACGAGATTCCTAAGCGGTGCCATGGCATAGGGGTTAGGATGTCCGTTTTATACGCAAGTGGTCGCGGGTTCGATCCGCGGTGGGCCAACTTTTTTTTTTTTTTCTCAAACATTTTGTTTTGTCGAGGCATTTGGCGATATTTACGATATTTCCTTTTTTGCGATGAACAGTAAAAAAAAAAAAAAAAAAAAAATCGAATGTTGTCGAGAAACTTCGCAGAACTAAATGGTAGCGGACTCCCTTTCCGGAGGTGCGATCGGGGACAGCGGGGCTTGGATTGCCGGCTGGTTACGCTTTGTAATTAGCAGCCGATACTGTCGCTGTCGCCGCGAAGCGGCGTGAACGCAGGCGGGGGGCTGTGTTAACGAGCGCCCCAGTGATTCACGCGCCGTTCGAAAAGGGTGGCCCGAGCGGCATGATCTCTCGGAGGGGTGCGTATAGCCATTTCCGCGCGAAGCGCACTCCGGAGTGCGTATAGCTTTACTCAATTGTGATTAGCGTTGATACGGCTGACGGCGCGCAGAGCTGAAGGGCACAAGCAAGGAAGCTTGGAGTGATTCTGTGTCGATGTGATTTGACATCGCTTCTTTCTGGTTCTTCGATCATGGTGCAAATGCAGGTGCCCGACTCCCGAGCGATTCGAAGGCAAGAGTGGTAGCCTGTCCGCTGGTCTTTCAATCGCATGCTCTGTCGTCATTTTGGGCACAGCGGAAGAAAATAAGACGTTCACTATTTTAAATAGCGTGCGATCGGCCTGTCTAGGTTCTGGCGACACCGTTTCAGGCTGTAGACGAGAAAATTTAGCCACTACAGTACGACTGCTAGCCTGGGGTCTGTGCCTCACAACAGATCGAAACGGGTAGGGGTGGGGATCCCTGGCAGCGGGACCTTTCGCCGTAGGAGCTGCGGTGCGCTAACACACTCGATTTCCGATACCCCCTTGGGTCACAGCGCTTGCTGAAAGAAGTTTGGATCGTTTTACGCAGATTTTGCAGTGCGTACGAGACGCGCAACAGCTACGTACTACGTCCTAGATGCCCAAACTGAGGCTCGCTACTTGTGCGCGGCTGTCGTGATCTGCAGCTGGGAACAGTATGCTCGCCATGAAAACGTTGCAGTGAGAAGTACGGAAAAGTAATACTATAAAAGTATAGTATATAAAACTGGCTTACATTGTCACTGAACATATGGAAATAAAACTGATTAGGAATGCCGATCAGATGGCTGTTATGTGTGGCGTCGCGTCGGCACAGGAATTCAAACTGGTTGCCCCCACCCCCGCTCCTAAATTCTTCCAATGCTGCTGGCAGCTTTTTTATATATATATATATATATATATATATATATATATATATATATATATATATATTGTAACGTTAAAGGCCCCAACAGGAGCATTACATAAGGAGTGTGTGTGTGTGTGTGTGTGTGGGGGGGGGGGGGGGGGGGGGGGAAGTACTTGAAAAATACAAAAGATCAACATATGAACAGACAGGTGGCTGATACCTACAGGGCTGGTGAGTAATATAAACAGTGAGAACAAGTGTGTGTGAAATAAAACTGGTACATAAATACACTTGCTAAAAGAGTAATCGAAGCATTGCGGAACAAGACTGGGTTACCTATTGCCAGACAAAACCAGGGTAATCACCGACTCACACCAAGCATACCGGAGCTTCCAGTCGGGCTCGGTGCCCTGAAAAGCGCTGCAGGTGCTCAAAAACAAAAGACCCCCAAAGGAGCCCATAGAATTTAAATGGGTACCTGCCCACTCTGTGGTAGAGGGCAACAAACTTGCTCACCAGCAGGCCTGCACGCTGACTCACCGGGCCACAGCCATGGAAGAGGTGCAGGACCAACCCATGGTGACCTAAAAGGAAATACTAGTCGCACTCTACTGCAAGACCCTAGATGACGCATTGCTGACACATGAGGAAGTTCTTCACCCAGGGATGAGCAGGCACAAAGAACCGTCGGTGAACCTGGATCTGAAAAAAGATGCAGCACTGCGTTTTTTGAAGGCTAGCCCTGTTCCGTTTGCAATGTGTACCGCAGTGGAGGCAGAACTCCGGATGCTCCAAAGCTAAGGCATAATCGAGCCAACACAACACTGAACGCTGTTGAAAAACTGGCGGTAAATCTGATGCGGGCTGTAACAAATTTTGTGGTGAGCGTGCTTGGAGGCACCATTTTTTCAACAGTGGACCTCACTAATAATAATAATAATAATAATATTTATTTGCACGAGAAAGTTTGCCCACTCAGCGGCGTGCGAGGCTAGACAGAAAGGTTAATACCCTTACGCATGTGCGCCTGCTAGCCCGCCGCTGAGTAGGTATAAACATAAACAAACTGTAGTCGTAAGTACAAGATAACACATATACACGTATGGAAACAATGAATAATCAGAGGGGAAGATAAGAAAACTCGCTGTGCCCCAACCCACCCCCACGCAGACCACGGCAGAGGCCCCAGCCACAAGGCATTCCACTAGCTGTGTGTGACAGTGGAGACAGCAGATATGCTCACCATAAACACCATCAAAGGACGACACAGAGTGAAAAGGATGCTCTTGAAAATTTCGGCTGCCGCGGCAATTTTTCAGCTCTGCAAGGAGACAGTCCTAGCAGGAAAACCCATCATGGAATTCTACCTGGGTAATGTTGTTGTGACGATCTGGAACGGTCATCAAGATAAATGGGCACCGTGCTCAGGAAAGACGTGTCAATGTCATCAACTACCATGCCAAAACTACTTCTTTTATTTCGATCATGAGCGCTCGCACGAGCCGCTTCAGAGCGATGTCTCTTGCAGCTCGTCACGTGCCAAGGGTTGTAAGTGTCGACCTGATATCACGCTGCCATGCAACAAACATTAAACAAATACTGCATTGAGCAATATGCACATGATTAAATAATGATATAAATATGACGTGATAAATGAGAAAAAAAAACTTATCAAGTTTACAAAATTCAGTCCCCAGGTAGAGGCTGCACAAATTTGACGACCGGCTTCAGTTTCTCCACATGCACTACATTGCGGCCAGTATCGTCCACGAGTTCAAGCTCGTAGTTCACGGGAGAGAGCCGGCTCACGATTTGGCGAGGGCCAGTAAATCATAGTGTTGCCTTGACTCTGATCAGTGGGCTCTCCTACAACTCGAGCTAGTCCTTAAAAAGAACATACATGTGCCACTGTCAAAGTCGCTTTCTTGCTTTTCTTGAGCAAGCTTGATTTGTCTGGAGGTCACCTTCCGAGCTGCGTACCGCTGTCAAATGTGTCACCAACGTTGGTGCTGCGGGTTGACAACTTTCTAAGGTTCTGAGACAGAAGTCCCCCGGCAAAAAAAGGCTTAATCAACGGAAAATGTGGTCAGTGTTCGCATTGCTGAGCTTAATTGTCTTGATGCCCA